TCCCTCTCACCACCGGTTGAAGCTGGATAAACAGCGGTGCATGGTCTGATGAAAGGAATGGTAAGTGTTGGACCGAAGCTTCCTGCCATTTCAATCGAGCAGACGCACATCATAGCACTCTGTCCAATCTTTTAGCAACGAAAGTGGACTCCATTCTCCTTCTTTTCCATGTATATTTGTTTCCTATGAACCCCATATCTATCAGAGACAAATCATTCATCCATTTTCCGAATGCTAGTGAATCTGTCGACAGTCTTCCATTACCACCCGTTCTCTCGTCGAGCCTCACGATCGTATTGAAATCGCCTCCCATGATCACCGGTTCTGTCAAACTCTGTATAATGCGGGCCAATTGACTCCAAAGGCCACTTCGCCTGCTTACTGATGGAGCCGCATACACAACAACAAGGTGCATTACATCTTCCCCATTAACCACTTTTGCATGAATGAACTGGTCTGAAGACTCCAATATCGTAATCTCTCCTGCTTCAGACCGCCACAATAACCAAAGGCCACCACACTGGCCTACCGCGTCTACTCGGAATGAGCTATCAAACCCCAGCCCCTGACAAATCCTTCTCGCTCGATCTCCACCTGCGTGAGTCTCAAAAATAGCCAGCACATCTGTTCTGAATCTCTTCAGCAGATATCGTATTGATCTCCGAAAATTAGGTTTGTTTGCCCCCCGGCAATTCCATAACAAGCAATTAATCATAGCTACAAGCTTATTGGACACCAGAACCACTAGGGTATCCTGTTACGCGACCATCGGAGTTCCATCCTCCTCCGTCGTGTTCGTACCCATATCTGTCTCATGACTACAGCGCTCCCCGCTCGTCTCCGCCAGGGAGTTTCCCTCCATAACCAGTGTTGTCTGTTCATCATGATTCCCGACAACCTCTCTCGAATCACTCATAAAAGTCCCTCCAGGTCTCCCTATCTGCTCCTTCTCCACCCTCATCCGTTTCCCAGACTCCGATAGCTCGATATCTCCTTGATTTAGGCCAAACACCAGACCTCTCATGGGCCTGACAGGGCTATTCTTCTTTTTTTGACGGGTCATCTTACTGGGCCTACTATTGCCATCTTTTTTATCCTTAGGCCCATCCTGGAATAGTAGTTGATTGTTTCCTTCCTTCCCGCCAACCAGACCTATCCTTAATTGATCCTCATTCTTGCCTTTCCCCTTCTCCTGAGGGATATTCGTTGATTCCCGATTCTCCTTTCCTGAGATTCTCCCCTCTTACACATCTGGCAACTCAATATCTTTCTCAAGATCCGCGAACCGATTTGATATCGTAATATTCTCCAAGTCCCGCTGAATCGGGATTTCTTATAGATTCCTTCCCAAATCACCCCCGGTCATGCCCGACGCTCCTGCTCCGGAACCTGACGACGGTGTTGTGGTTCTACCTCTCGATCTTCTCACCTGAGTAAAACCTTCCTCCACCTGAGTAGGTTTTGTCGGGCTCACAGATTCCCTTTGCGTGCGTATGCCTATTGTCTTTTCTGGTGTTAACTTCGGACATAAATGAATTAGATGACCATACATCCCGCAGTTAGAACATATGCTCGTAAGACCCTCGTATGAGATGAAATATCTATCCCCATTAATCAATATTGTTCCTTTCAGTGGCTTCGATAAGTTCACCTCAACACACACTCTCGCGAACCTAGCCCTCTCTAGGCTTTGTGTCATCTGATCAACCTTGACTGGCTTCCCCAAACCCTGCGCAATCCCCATCAATATGGACTTATGATAGTAATTCACCGGTAAGTTCGATAACCGCACCCAAACCGGTGTAGTAGTGATATCGTCACTCAACGGATCAAAACCTGGACACCATGCCTGTGCCATAAGATAGCTACCAAAAGCTCTCCATGGACCACCTGTTAACGCCTTCATATTGTCCTCCTCTCCTTCAAACCGGATCATGAAGAACTGACGGGGAAGATCCATGACATACATGGCTTGACTCGGTTTCCATAGGTCCCTAAGCTTCTTGCTCAAGGCAGGTATCTCAACACTCCGACCCAGGACTTTGACAATCATGCATCTCTTCCATAAGCCGTTCATCACTTCCAACACTTCCTGTTCAATGGTAATCTCCGGCTCACCATCCTCTCCTTGAGAGAATTCCACACATAACCTTGATGTAACAAAACCATCGTCTAAAACATCCTCCGGGGTTAACATGCCCCCGGTGCTCCCCCTGTCACCTTACTCACCCATGAAACTGCTATATCAGGCAGATCTCCCGGTGGCCTTGCGTTCTCCCCGATATCTGTTATAGTCGCATCTTAGTCGCCGTTTCTCGAAACCCTAATATTGCTCATCATCTACTTTTTTCAGAACATGGTATAATTATGATATTTAACTAAATTAATTGATTAAAACGGATAAAAAGTTTAAATGTCAATTAAGCATGTTTTCAACTTTTACGGTTTTCCATTCTATTTGGTTTTAAGAATTCAAATTAAAATATATTTCTAAAAAAATTATATAGACAATATAATAATTTAATTAAGAAAATGTACAAAGATGAAGAGATATTATAATGATTAATATTGTATCATTGAAAGTACTATATTTGATGTTCTATTTTTTTAAAGTATATATTTAGGCTTAGTGAAAGACTGCTGCTTTTAGGATTCCTTAATATATATTTTTTAAATTTATAATAAAATATTATGTAATTAGTATGTAGGGACAAAATTAATATAAATTAATGATTATGAGGAAAACATAAGCAAAATACGAGGAAAATATAAGCAAAATATGAAGAAAACATAATCAGAAAAATTGATAAAATAATAAAAAATATTTAAATTTTGGATATTTCATACTTTTCTCGTCAGTTCCATTTTTGTGTTGGTTTGGTTCACAATAACAATCAAATTTCTAATGTTTAAAATCTTTTTAACAGGGACCACAAGCGAATACTTTGACAAAGTCATCAGCCTTTTCGTGACATACGCATTGACACATTCCATATTTTCCAGGTTCCTCTATGAGAACATGGGATATCACAAGCTAGGTTCTTGGTGTGTTAGTTTTATTTGTTTGATTACGAACATTTTCCTCGCATAATATGATTTATCCAATTTATTTCTTGTTGACGTAAGAAAAATAACTGCATGTTTCAATGTATGTGATGCTCTCTCGAGTTACATTACTCTCATCAAGCGACTTAAGATGGAACTGGGGAAATGGATAATAGTTTGCGTTGTTGCCCGTGTTTTGTTTGTACCTGCTTTCTACTTCACGGCTAAGTATCCTAATCAGGGTTGGATGCAGTGTAGTGCTTGGCTTTGAGCCCAAACAAAAATATATATTTGTAACGTTTTTTAGAATAAGTAAAATATTAACCTCAGTTTTAATTAATATGTTTTAGGTGAGTTGATTGTATACTGAAATAGGTAGTAGGTTTAAGTACCTCGCAACTCTATATAAAAAAAAGATCTTTTAATTACTTTTTTGTTTAATCAATTCATAGATATAAATATTGTTTTGACTTTATAAATCTTTAGAAGCGGTTGTAGCTGGATAATCTCCCTGACCTCTTTTTGGGCATAACAAAGGGTTACATAACCACCGGGACTCGCACCAGCACAGAAAATCTATAGTGTAAGATGTCTTTTTAAAAAAAAATCATAACTAATTTTTTTTGTATATAAAACAGAATGTATCAATTGAGACTCTTATTTTTTTTAATTTTTATATGATTGATACAGGGGGGATTTTCGCCTTTCGTTGCTTTCGGGCTTATCGACAGCAATAATTTCGTTTCCGTTTAATGTTTTATGTTTAAATTTTAATTTCAAAATAAATCTTCGTGCTTGATTTTAAAAAGTGTCGTGTTACAGTTAATATATACTCTGCCCAAAATGTTACTATATGTCTTAAATTCAAGGTTTAAGACCATTTTCAAAGGTTTATTCTATTTTTTATTTTTAAATAGAGTTTTTAAAAAAATTGAGAAGGAGTTTACTCTAATGGTTATCTCTATTTTCTACTAAAAAAAAATTCTAAGTGTATTCCTAATTCTATATTTAGTTATTATTTTTGTAATACTAAACCTTTTACTTTATAAATATACAAATTTTATCAACTCATTTTGTATTTTTGACAAAAAGTTATTGCTATTATAATTTTATTTATATATTAAAATAAATATATAGTTTTTGTTTAGTTATAAAGTAGAAACATATCAAAACTAAAGGAGCATTTTATGAAAAAAAGTTTTTTTTGAAAAAAACTAGAGATTTTTTTTTATTAAATATTTAGAGTTACATATAAAAATTTCTATTTTAACCTAAGATATAAAATAATATTGGAGATGATTTTATTCTAAAAATAGAACTTAGAGACAAAAATAATGTTGTGATGATCTTAAATAGAACTTAGTTACTCTTAGAATAGAACTAAGTCACTAACTTACACGATCGAGCGGCTTATGGCTCCTTAGATTGAAAAAGGTTCAATCTTTATTATTCTTTACAAATTTAAATGCCTTTTGAAAGCAAGTTTTTGTTTTGACTTAGGAGTTCAAGAACAGAGATACATCTTTTAGCGAGAAAGAAAAGTTTGTCTTCTTCTCTTTCTTTTGCTTTTAAGTTAGTCATCATCTTTCTAATTATGGACATATATTGTTTCGAATTTTTTTTTACAGAAAAACTTGTATTCTCTTGCGGTATATAAACGATTCTGTACTCTGAGCTCAAAGAACAAACTATGACACTCAACTCAAACGAAATATCTCTCAGTCTTGGTTACGATTTCATTATGACATTCTGCAGATGATTTATTCAAAGTTCAAATTTTTAGTGAATGAATCTTCTTATAGTGTCTTTCATATTTATGTCTTTCATTTTTCATTTTTAGTGAATGACATTAGTGTCTTTCATTTTTAGTGAATGAATCTTCTTTTTAGTGAATGAATCCTCTTTATATTCCCAAAAAATATTTTTAGTTAACCCAAAAGCAAAGAAACTGAAATGGGATCCACATATAGTGTCTTTCACCAACTGAAAATACTTTCTTTCACTAACTTTAAATAATTACACATGAAAGACAAGACAAAGTTTAAAACAATAGCGTGAATAACAATTTTAAATGACATTAAACGTAACTAGTTGAATGTAGTAGTAGTAATTGGCATGAAAAGTAAATCTAAAAATGCATTCGCTAAAGTTATATCTAAAAGGAATCGTTGCCAATGAGCCAAAGCCAACCCAAACAAACACCAGCGAAGATGCCTCCCAATAAGAACACGCACAACAAGTTCCCTAACGCATTTGATTCCGGTCCCTGTGAAGAAGAGATAAAGAAATTTACATACATATATAACCGGTTTTAAACCGAACCAAATCGAACCAAGAGTGGCTTACTATATCTAAAGGGGAGAAGTAACTCACATTGTAGCCCTTTGGTGCCATGCTGAAGATAGAAACGGTTAAATAACCGTTGCTCAATCCCAAGAAGGAGGTGAGGAAAAGCATCCATCCTTGATCCGCGTACTTAGCGGTAAAGTAAAAGGCCGGGACGAGCAAGAACCGGGCAAGAACGCAGACCGTGATCCATTTCCTAGATTCCAACGCTAAACATTTGACCGAGGGCATGAACCTCGAGATCGAATCCCACCCGTTGTACATTGCTACTAGGACCGGTGCATACCTTTCAACACGTCAAAACATATATAGCTAATTTAAATATATAAGTATATAACCATATACGAGCTGAAATGGTTTTAGTGTTGAACGTTCCATACCAATCACCCAACCGGTGTTTTCCTGTGTTTTCATATAGAAATCCCGGGAAAATCGATAGCGTGACGACGTAAATCAAGAAGAGATTGATCATATGATCAATGTTTTGCCTTAGCAATTGCTTTTTGGTCTGTCTTATGATCTTGGTCTCGTCCATTTGTTGAACCTTTTGTAAGGATCAAAGTTAGCTGAATAAAAACCATTGTAGTGGATCAAAACAAACCGAAATGTAATGTTATTGAACCTGATTAGCCTGCTCTTGGAGGCCAGCCGCAGCTAGATCGGCGGCAACGGACTTGGCACCTTCTTTACCGGCTTTGGCTCGGTAGTACTTCACTATAGGGAGCTTAGCGAAGACGTAAACATATAGAAGAAGACATGCTAACTCGATCAATGTAGCTATTCCTATGAACAATACTGCGTAAAAAAATACAATTATCTTAGTTTATATAACAAGATGTAACAACAATCTTAAAGATATGTAGAAGAGAGACATTACAAGCGCCTTTTCGGAGGCCATTGGGAGATTTGTCGAAGATTGCTTTAGTAATAAGCCTTAAACCGGAGGTTAGAGCTCCGGCTATGCCTAAACCGCCCATGAAAGCCTGTTAAAGCATCATCATAATATAACATTAAGCTAAAATCAATCTTAGGTTAATAAACATCTATAGCTAAAAAAATCAAAACTAACCTGGATGAACTCGGGACACATGAAGGACAGATCTCCGACCATTCCACCTTGTACAAAAGCATCAGCGAATCCGAAGAGAGCTACGATCAAACACAACACAACATATGCTACTACACTTCCACTGCCATGCGAAGCAACATCCAACTTCACCAAACCGGAACACAATGAATCAAAACCGGGGACTTATGCATATATATAGATCTTACGTAAGAAAAACATTAAGAGTACACTTACAATGATGAGACAAAAGGTGCCTGCGGTATAAAGGCCGTACCCGAAAATGTTACGAAATCGGGTATTGAGCTTAGCTTCTTTATAAGCAAGTGTTGATATAAACACATTCGCAACCAATTGGTATACTATTGTAAGCACCCTTGAAGGATGATATTTCTGTTGTTAAAAGAAGAAATACAAAATCAAATTATACCCGATTGAAACGAATTTGTATTAAAACCGAAATAAATTGCTTATAATCATACCGGGAAAACTTGATAATAGTAATCGGTGATGGTCAACATTGCATTCCATGCCACGAGAGAACCTACTCCAAGAATACAACATACAAGTCGTGCCACATTCTTGCCCTGTTCATCATAAAAATACCTCTTAATTAAAATTTCAGAAGTTCTTTACACACTATATACATAATACTTGTAATATAGCTTATAGTATGAATTATCGATTCGTGTAGAGTTGTGTATACCGACCTCAAGCCTGGTAGGGATACCCTCTGGATTACTCATCGGACGATCACAAATCCTGCAAATTTTCAGAAACTTATAAGCAATTTTATAGAATAGATATATTTTATTTTCGTCTAGTTCATGGTCTTTCAGCCTCTTTCTCGTTCACATGAAGATCCTCAACTACCACAGTAAAGACATGGAGTTAAAGCTCCCCAACTACCTTAAATGAATTTTAATTTCGATTTTTTTCTTCTTATTTTCTAAATAGCATACAAAATTGATTGAAACCACGAAAAAAATCGACTTCATAGTGTTTCTTATAACTTGTGTATCCCTGAGTTTTTAGATCATTTTCTTCACTATTTTCCAATATCTATAAAAAAACGCCCGATATTCCTTAAACATATCAAACATATGGAACGTTTAATTCGAAGATTATATATGTTCACTAAGAGACAGAATCTCAGAATCCAAGTGAGTTTGATTATCATTACAGAACGAACACATGACGCATAAAAAAGCTAAGGTTACGATTAAGATAGAAGAAGAAAAAAGTTGACAAATGAGAAGAAGAAAAAACTCACCTTAGAGAAGCCTTATTCAAAGGTGGGAGCAAAAAAAAATGTATGAGGTATATTAAACCCCAAAATCTAATTAAGCAGATATGGGTTTATGTTATCTAAAAGATTATTTGATTTACGAAATCATTGAATTTACATGATTCGTGTGGATCGTAACGGTTTAATCCGGAAAAGATTCGTTGACAAAAATAGATAGAAACAAATTCGAAAAAGATTCATTAAATATAAATCTGATAAAGAAGGGGATATATATATATGTATATATATATTTTTTTTGATTTTGTTACGACCTGAGTTTAAAAAAAAACCATTGTCTACCTTAGGCGCCCTAAATTAAAAAGAATAGTTAAGAAACCCCACCGAGAAACAATATTCGAAAAAGATTCATAAAATAAATCTGTTAGAGAAGGGAATATCTTAATTTTATATATTATATACTCATTTTTTAATATAAGATTTTTAAGAATATTTTTTGTTTGAAAATATATGATGCTCTCGTAAATCAATATAAATTTTAATAATTATAATAAATTAATAAAAAAACTTTGTCAAAAATTTGCAAATTTTGATAAAATAATAAGATAATAGGTTTTTTGAAATTCTTATGTAAAAATATAATCTCAATAATTAAATACATTAGTAATTATACATTTAAACATATATAAATAATATAATATAGTAAAATACAATTTTGTTTGGTGTTTTAAATTAATAAATATTGTTTGGCTTATCTTTAAAGTTTATTGATATGATATTTTCTGGATAAATTATACATTATTAAGATCATTTTGTTATTTTTGATGAATATTAATAATTGATAAATTAATAAAATGTTACTCTATAAATTAATAAAATGTTACTTTAAATTGATAATTAATAATTTATGAATTAACTAATAATTCTATAAATTTATCAATTTTAAATTTAAATATTATTAATTTATATAGGTTTTACTGTAAATTAATAGATGAAATAATAAAATAAAAAATAATAAAAAGATTATAATAGATATTTTACTAATTTTATTAATATATGTATAAATATCTAAAACATCTTATAAAAAACTGGAGGGAGTATTAGATATTCGACCTGAATTAGAAAAGATAGTAGATTAACTACTGGACTACCATAGCCCTATTTAAAATAGAAATAATAATTAAGGGTGGTTCATCATTGGTCAGAAACTCACCATGTAGATCAAGACTTGAGTGTTCGACTCATTTCATAGTGATATTATGATTTAATTTTTCACATGTACTCATTATATTAGTTTGTCTTTCAGTGCAAGATTTTCTGTTAGATAATGCATTCATTTCTTCATGCGTGTGTAGATGGCCTAGCCAAATCTTTTTTTTTATCGTCAATTTGATTTCATTAACCAACATGGGGTAGAGTAGAGAAACAACTTAAAAGCCCAATACAAATCAAAAGAAAATAAAGCCCAGCAAGATCAAAAGACTAACTAATTACACGTGTAACCTAATAAACAAAATCAAGAACACGTGTCGAAAGATAGACGACAATTGCAGTTTCCGATATTCTCTCACTAGCGGTCACCGCCAGTACCTATCATCGCTTGAACCTCATCAATCAGAAAATTACTGCCGAAGATCTCTGCTCCTTCCTTTTGCATTTGATAACTGGAGAGATTGCAAGATGCATGTCTAAACCGCGAGAAATTAAAACAACAGGAAGCGATGGAGGAAAGAACTCAGAACATCGCCAGACCGCCATTAAAACGCCAGCTCTACAGAAGCTGATTCCAAACCACCAAATAACCTCCATAGATCTCGATTCAAATACTTCATAAGAGAAACTCCACTTGAATCAATCATATAACTAAAAGAAGAAAAAATCTTCTCTGAAAGTAACCAAATCAAGCTTGATCTAACGGAAAAGAGGATTTTACAACAACAACCAGAATTCACAACTTCCAAAAAGAAGTTGTTAAAAACATCCAAAAGGGAATTAACAAAATAAAAGTCTGATTGATGGATGTGGTAGTATGTTCTAAACTTAGGATACTTAGCTAGACTTAAACCTTTGTTGGACCCGGAAGGTTAGACTAGTTAATCAGGCCGTATTTTAGCTTGGTTAGTTGGTTTAATTGTTATTCTGATTAGATCCGGTTTATTGTAAATCTTCATTGGTATAAGGGGATATGCAGAGGCTTAGGTTTAATGTCGCTTCATCTAAAACACTCTTTTGTATCGTCTTCTTCTCCGAGCATTATCTGTTCTTGAGAGCTCGATTCTTGCTAGTGGATTTGCTGGACTGAGTCTAGCCCCAGAGAGTAGTTGATCATCTCGATCGCGAACTCTGGGTAATCAATTCCTTGTGTGCTCCTGTTTCATTCTTTCTTCGTGTTGTTTGATTGCATTTTGAGAGAGAGATAGATTTGAACTGATCGGAGTCAGATTAGTTCGTAACAAGATATGGCTTCTAGAGAGTGAGCGTTGCGTCATCAGCAGAAATGTCAAGTTTCAGGAGACACTGGTGTACAAGGATGTGATCACAGGGAGCAGTAGTCAGTCACAGATGTAATTGCTTCATCTGTTCCTGAGAAGTTGTACTCAAAGTCCTCGGGGACCAATTCTAAAAGCAAAGAGTCTGTGATTCAGGATTCAGGTGGAGTTCCTCAAGAAGTATCACCCGACAGCAGTAACTCAGAGGAGCAAGAGCCACAGTTAATGACCCCTGCAGGAGGTCCAGACAGCTCGTCTATGAGTGTCTCAATGTCACCTGCAGGAAGTTCTTCGAGCTCTTCCAGGAGTGTTTCTCAAACTCCGGCTAGAACTCCCAGTCCTCAAGATCAACCTGTAGTGATTGATTGTCCTAGAAGAGAGATCGTTCTTCCTCTAAGGCTTCAAGACTGTGTTATAGAGGATGGGGATGACGAAGTAGCATTTGCTCTGATAATGTCAGAGTTGATGTATGTGGAAGAACCCGGAGACTTCAAGGAGGCAAGAGCAAGTGAGGAATTGGATAAGTGGAATGATGCTACAGATGAGGAAATGGATTCGTTGATGAAGAACAAGACCTGGATTTTGGTTCTAAGACCAGCTGATAGGAAGATTATCAGCTGTAGATGGCTATTCAAGATTAAACCTGGCATAAAAGGACTCGAGTCTGACAGATACAAGGCTCGGCTTGTTGCAAGAGGGTTCTCTCAGAAAGAGGGAATTGATTATCAAGAAGTGTTTTTGCTGGTTGTTAAGCATATTTCTATCAGAAAATTGCTGTCCATAGTGGTGAATAAGGACTTAGAGCTTGAGCAGATGGACGTGAAGACTGTTTTTCTTCATGAAAATCTAGAGGAAGATCTCTACATGTATCAGCTTGAGGGATATGAAAACAAGAAGAAGAGGGATCACGTTTGCTTGCTCAAGAAGTCTCTTTATGGACTTAAGCAGTCTCCGAGACAGTGGAACAAGCGGTTTCATGAAGTGATGATGACACAAGGGTTTACACAGAGTAAAAGAGATAACTGTGTGTATGTTAAAGAGGTGTAAAAAGATGACTTTGTCTATCTGCTGTTATACGTAGATGACATGTTGCTAGCGGCACAGAAAATGTCAGATATTAAGGAGCTTAAAGAGCAGTTGAGTTCAAACTTTGAGATGAAAGATCTGGGAGCTGCTAGGAGAATATTGGGGATGGACATCTTCAGGGATCGTGAAAAAGGGATACTGAGGTTGTCGCAGACCGAGTATTTGAAGAAAGTAATCAAAAATTTCAGGATGACGGATGCTAAAAGTTCTCAAACTCCGATAGGAGCTCATTTTAAGCTATTGTCGGTTAAGGATCCTGATGAGATCATTGACACTGAGTCAATCCCGTATGCATCGGCTGTTGGAAGCATCATGTATGCCATGGTGGGTTCACGACCAAACTTAGCTTATGCTATTGGCTTAGTGAGTCGTTACATGAGTAAGTCTGGAAGCATCCATTGGGAAGCTGTGAACTGGCTTTTGAGGTACATCAAGAGGTCAGTGAACATGCAATTGGTGTATATGAAGGATAAGGATTTACAGGTGCAAGGTTACTATGATTCAGATTATGCAGCAGACTTAGACAAAAGAAAATCTACGTCAGGGTATGTGTTTACAGTTGGTGGCAATGTAGTGAGCTGGAAATCGAGTATACAACCAGTGGTAGCATTGTCGACAACTGAAGCAGATTACATTGCGTTGAATGAAGCAGTAAAGGAAGCGATTTGGCTTAAAGGATTGCTTGAAGACTTCGGTTTCAACCAAGGACCTGTGAAGGTGTGGTGTGATTCACAGAGTGCGATTTGTCTGTCCAAGAACAGCGTGTTTCACGAGCGCACGAAGCATGTAGCTACCAAATACCATTTCATTCGAGACATTATCGATGAAGGGATAGTTGACGTGCTGAAGATTCACACAAGCAGGAACCCAACATATATTTTAACGAAGGTGGTTCCAGTGAGCAAGTTCAAGTCAGCTTTGGACCTGCTCCGAGTTGCCCAAGCTTGATCAAGCCGGCGACGCTAGACAATGATGACCAGAAGGTGAATCCACAGAAAGAGTAAGAGTCAGGTTTGTGTTAGAGAGATAGTACTTTGTTAGGTTGTGGTTAAGTTTAGTCCAAGGTGGAGAATGTTGTAGTGTGTTCTAAACTTAGGATGCTTAGCTAGACTTAAACCTCTGTTGGACCCGGAAGGTTAGACTAGTTAACCAGGCCGTATTTTAGCTTGGTTAGTTGGTTTAATTGTTATTCTGATTAGGTCCGGTTTATTGTAAATCCTCATTGGTATAAGAGGATATGCAGAGGCTTAGGTTTAGTGTCACTTCATCTGAAACACTCTTTTGTATCGTCTTCTTCTCCGAGCATTCTCTGTTCTTGAGAGCTCGATTCTTGCTAGTGGATTTGCTGGACTGAGTCTAGCCCCAGAGAGTAGTTGATCATCTCGATCGCGAACTCTGGGTAATCAATTCCTTGTGTGCTCCTGTTTCATTCTTTCTTCGTGTTGTTTGATTGCATTTCGAGAGAGAGATAGATTTGAGCTGATCGGAGTCAGATTAGTTCGTAACAATGGAAGAAATAGAAACATAAGAAAGCCGGACTTAGCCGGAATTTATTATCCGATCAAACAGAAAAACAAAAATCGCTCTCTCTCTGAAAGATACAAAAGAAGCCAAATGTTTTTT